GTACTTGAGAAATTTAAGTGTTGAAACAATGATATATTGATGTGTTTAACAGTCTTGATACAACTGGCAAGGGATGATAATAATAATGATAATGATAATAATGATAATAATAATAATAAACTGTATTTATTGAGGATATAAAACATGTTTAGCCAACGGCTAATCTTCCACATGGTCCTCTGTTTAGTAAAATAATGTTAGTTAAAATCTACTAAGTTACATACATGAATCAAGTTTAAACTACGAACTACATATTAAACAAAAATGGGATTTTAAACTACATCTTAGAGAAAAAAAATCACAGACATTAATTAAAATTATCACAGAATGCGCAATTACTCATGCAAAAATATTTCACCAATTTAATGACAGGTGCCTGATATACATACGTGCTATTATAGCAAACAGCTAAAAATTGACATAGTTATACGCTAATATATATCATAGTCTAAAATTGAGGTCAATATGGTGGTAAAAAAGTTGAATAAGAATGTCAAATATATCACAAAAGATCTAAGACATAGATATAAGGTGTTGAATAAGTTTTCTTTTAAAAGTGGAAAAACAATGGACATTCTTAATATCATTGGGTAAAATATTCCATTCTTTAATAAAGTCAGTAAGAAATTGTAAGAAATTGTTTAGAATAAGACACAGTTCTACGCTTTGGCACCTGGAAATTGTTTTCAGAAGCATATTCTAGTATTCCTGCTGTGACCATTCCGCATTGTTTGACAAATATACCTGAACAGTCTGGCGATAACATTTAAATAACATACACAGCCTTCTAAATTTGTAATACATATTAATTGGCATCCATCTAAGTTGCTGAAACATTACACTGGAAGGTGGGCTTCTGAGCTTTGATAAGTTTTCCCGTTATTTTTTGTTGCAACCTGACAACACAGTACTACAATATAAAAAGTCTTTGTCTAATCCTAGATACAACAGATGTAATATGACTTGACCACGTTAGTCCATCATCAACGTTTACACCAGGTAGTTTATCATTACAAACCTAAAGGTTCATCACACATAAAAAGTTCAAGATTTAAGTTGTTTCTCCTTTGTTTTTGCTTTGATGAGATACACATACATTTGGTTTTTTGTACATTAATCATCATTCTGTTATCTACACACCATTTACTCACATTGTTTAAATCTGCCTGTAGTGTAACTGTGACAACTTCTACTGACTTACCAACAGCAGACAACGTAGAATCATCAGCATACATATCAGTGCTTGATAAAACATGATAATAACTAAAAACATAAGAGGACCGAGAATAGATCCCTGAGGTCCATCATGTGTGATATTGCAAACATTAGACATATGACCTGCAAGAGATACTATCAGGTTTCTGTTATCTAAATATGATTTAAACCATGATATGGACCTATGTTTAATATGATACAAAGACATTTTTGTGAGTAAAGCATCATGGTCTACCAAATCAAACGCCTTTTTAATATCAAACAGTACAACTCCTGTATTCAAACCATCATCTATGTTTTTTGCCCATAGTTGACTACATTCAACAGTGCAGTTTCACAGGCGTGATTTTGACGGAAACCTGACTGAGAAAATAAAATTAGATTATGAGTAGTAAGATAATTATAAAAAGTGCGATGAACATGTCTCTCAATAACCTTAGACAGTATTGGTAAAACAGAAATTGGTCTAAAATTGCTAACATCAGCAGTGTTACCTCTTTTATAGAGGGGGGTAACTCTTGCCTACTTCCACTGTGTGGGAAACTTACCAGACTGGATACTATGATTAATAAAAAATGTAAGTGACTGAGCTATTTCCCCATGAACAATCTTTAAAAGTTTAGCACAAACATCATCAGTACCAGTAGCTTTGTGTTCGTCTAAATTATTCAAAACCTTGACGACGAAATCAACAGACACTTTTAGTATGACAAATTGGGTACTATTACTTAGTTTACTAGTTACATATTCTTTCAACTTCTCAAAAGAGGTTGTAACATTTTCAAGATTAGAAGTTAATTTACCAGCAACCTCTGTAAAATAACTATTAAAGTGATTAGCCATTTCACTTTTTTTTTCAAATACATGTTTCTCATTTATCTCTAACATGTTTGGAGATGGTAAGACTTACTTCCTGTATCATCTTGGGATTATCAAGATATATGTCTGTACAAGTTTTATAACTACAGGAAGTTTGTTTAACATGAACAGTCGTTACAACCGACACTTTAAGGAAGATTTGATTTTAATATTTTGATATATGTTTCACTGTTTTAACATTTTTCCCCCATGTTGTATATTTCAGAAGCAAAATATGGCATTTGTAAAAGTATTGGGAGAAAGTTCTACACACATGAAAAGATTTCGTCGTTTATCCGAGACTATGGGTACAACACTGGTCCAGTATAAACATAGGCGTTCAAAGTCAGATGGATTGATATCTTACCGCTCTACCCCTACACACCGACGGTCGGACAGACATATGATAACTGCCGAAAGTGTAAGGATGGCTAAGAAACCTGCGTCACACAGACATCGGTGTAAATCTTTCAGCAAAAGGACGAAGCCAGAAGAGAGAGAGAGTCTTAATTCTGAGTCAAGCGTTTTTAAACATTGTCTGGTTTACCGACAAAAAGTCTGGAACTTGTGGTACAAACATTCACTGCTTTCGATGAATTATAGAAACACCATAACAAGTATAGTTGTGTCAATCATCATAGCATGTTCTTTATACGACATGAGACTTGTTCATCTTCTCTCGCATTTTTCGATAATTATTGTGCTTCTGATGGATGTTCGTAATTTCAATTTTACACTTAAGTTCAATAAAGTAGTGGCATATGAAGGAACTAAAAATACATATAGTATTGAAAATGTTAAATACAAACCACATTCGTTCTGGAACTTGAAAGACAATTTATCTTGGTTGAGACAATTTGAGCCTCATAAAGTGTGTCTGGACGTTTTTCCGTCAAGCCTAAATTTTTATTTTCAAAATTCTGAAAATGGGGACGCATCTGAATCGATGAACATCGAATGGTTGAGGTTGCGGTCATTTTCAGCTGATCGAAACATTAGTGTTCGACCAATCAGATTGGCGAGAGCTGGATTTTACTATACGGGTACTTCGGATGAGGTCAGATGTTTTTCGTGTGGAATACAGCGATCTAACTGGATGGCGGGAGAAGATCCCGCAGAAATTCACAAACGAATTTCTCCTCTCTGTAGACATGTGAACGGTACGGACAATAGAAACATTGCTATATCACGAGAAAGTGACCACACCAATTCTTCTCGTGCTACAGTGACCGCTTCACCTCGAGAGAGTGACCACGCCAGTTCTTCTCGTGCTACAGTGACCGCTTCATCTCGAGAGGGTGACCACACCAATTCTTCTTGTGCTACAGTGACCGCTTCACCTCGAGAGAGTGACCACGCCAGTTCTTCTCGTGCTACAGTGACCGCTTCATCTAGAGAAAGTGACCACGCCAGTTCTTCTCGTGCTACAGTGACCGCTTCATCTCGAGAGAGTGACCACGCCTGTTCTCGTGCTATGATGGCATCATTTGAAAATCAAGGTATGTTTGTAGGTAGTCACGAGAAAAAGAAGCCATCTACAATCAACGTCAATAGGAAATATGTGGTTAATAGTCAACTTGCTGGGAGAGCAGGTAGGGATATGGAAACACAACAAGAGAATCCTTCTATCGAACAGCGCACAGGCAAAACGAAACCTCATTCTCATGGGCAGAGAAGCGATCATAGAAATGTCATTCAAAATGTGCTGTCCTTAGAGCAAGAGCAAACTCGCATATCTAATGGACACGAGGATGCTAACACATCGATCACTCCACAAGTGAGCGCAAACAGGTCTTCGGCTACGGAGCAACCACATCGCTCTTCCGCTAATAATAGACACAGACATAACATATCTTCTTCCGGATCCGGTGCTGTCAGTGATTCAGTGGTACAGAAGTTGGCACCACTCGGTGTCGTCTTTGATAAGCCCAAGTACCCGGCATACGCAGTGCTGACTGTAAGGATGAGCTCCTACAGTGGTTGGCCATGTTCACAGACACAGAGCCTGATGGCTGAGGCTGGATTCGTATACGCTGGATATGCAGATTATACAAGGTGCTTTTTCTGTGGAGGAGGACTGAGAAACTGGATTGATGGGGACGATCCTTGGGTTGAGCATGCGCGCTGGTTTCCAAGGTGCGCATATTTACGACAGAGCAAAGGACTTGACTTCATACGTTTAGTTCATGAAAACCTAGACGATGAGAATCAGGTATAACATCACTGTTAACAAATCATACTTATAACCGTATTCAACGGTGTCGGCTTGGTATCGTTTAAAACAAGGAATCACATATTTAGAGGAGTAGCCTATTCCAAATGGTTGAAGTTGCTCCTTCCATTCTGATTAATTATGTTCAACAGAGTTTGGGGTGAAACGAGTGGCGTTTTGGTCAGGATGATTTCCAAGTAATCGCTAGCTTTCAGAGCTTAAATGAAGTTGGTTTGCAAACAACATATAATATAATTAGGTACGATGCTGTCCTACATTAAATGATGTCAAGAAAAAGCTTCAAGTCTATGATGAAGTAATTTAGTCCAAACCCCGAGCAAAAAAGAGGCCTATTTTTAATCCATATTTTATTTCCAATTATTCCAATCATACTACCGAACTATATATAGCATCCAATATTCCCAAACTTGAATGGAATAGATTATATCACCTATGTCGTTTTGTCACAGGCTCATGGGAGCATCAGTGATAACGTTCAAGGAAAGAAGTGCGAAAACCCGACAGAAAACCTCCCATCTGACAAGGAAGTCGCCGAATTACCAGCATTCCAGAGTGTTGTACAGCAAGGCTATTCTGCAGACCAAGCCACACAAGTTATCAGAAAACTGTGGACCAAAGGTAGGTTCAGACCTAGGTAAAAAGGTTATCAGGCAGCTATAGACCAAAGATAGGTACAGACCTAGGTAAAAAGGTTATCAGGCAGCTATAGACCAAAGGTAGGTTCAGACCTAGGTAAAAAGGTTATCAGGCAGCTATAGACCAAAGATAGGTACAGACCTAGGTAAAAAGGTTATCAGGCAGCTATAGACCAAAGGTAGGTTCAGACCTAGGTAAAAAGGTTATCAGGCAGCTATAGACCAAAGATAGGTACAGACCTAGGTAAAAAGGTTATCAGGCAGCTATAGACCAAAGGTAGGTTCAGACCTAGGTAAAAAGGTTATCAGGCAGCTATAGACCAAAGATAGGTACAGACCTAGGTAAAAAGGTTATCAGGCAGCTATAGACCAAAGGTAGGTTCAGACCTAGGTAAAAAGGTTATCAGGCAGCTATAGACCAAAGATAGGTACAGACCTAGGTAAAAAGGTTATCAGGCAGCTATAGACCAAAGGTAGGTTCAGACCTAGGTAAAAAGGTTATCAGGCAGCTATAGACCAAAGGTAGGTTCAGACCTAGGTAAAAAGGTTATCAGGCAGCTATAGACCAAAGATAGGTACAGACCTAGGTAAAAAGGTTATCAGGCAGCTATAGACCAAAGGTAGGTTCAGACCTAGGTAAACAGGTTGTCAGATGGTTATAGACCAAAGGTAGGTTCAGACCTAGGTAAAAAGGTTATCAGGCAGCTATAGACCAAAGGTAGGTTCAGACCTAGGTAAAAAGGTTATCAGGCAGCTATAGACCAAAGATAGGTACAGACCTAGGTAAAAAGGTTATCAGGCAGCTATAGACCAAAGGTAGTTTCAGACCTAGGTAAACAGGTTGTCAGATGGTTATAGACCAAAGGTAGGTTCAGACCTAGGTAAAAAGGTTATCAGGCAGCTATAGACCAAAGATAGGTACAGACCTAGGTAAAAAGGTTATCAGGCAGCTATAGACCAAAGGTAGGTTCAGACCTAGGTAAAAAGGTTATCAGGCAGCTATAGACCAAAGGTAGGTTCAGACCTAGGTAAAAAGGTTATCAGGCAGCTATAGACCAAAGATAGGTACAGACCTAGGTAAAAAGGTTATCAGGCAGCTATAGACCAAAGGTAGGTTCAGACCTAGGTAAACAGGTTGTCAGATGGTTATAGACCAAAGGTAGGTTCAGACCTAGGTAAAAAGGTTATCAGGCAGCTATAGACCAAAGATAGGTACAGACATAGGTAAAAAGGTTGTCAGGCAGTTATAGACCAAAGATAGGTACAGACATAGGTAAAAAGGTTGTCAGGCAGTTATAAACCAAAGATAGGTACAGACCTAGGTAAACAGGTTGTCAGATGGTTATAGACCAAAGGTAGGTTCAGACCCAAGTAGATGAGTCATCAGAAAGCTGTGGACCAAATGTAGGCTCCGACCTAGGTAAACAGGTTGTCGGACAGTTATAGACACCAAAGGTAGGTTCAGACCTAGGTAAACAGTTTGTCAGATGTTTATAGACCAAAGGTAGGTTCAGACCTAGGTAAACAGGTTGTCAGATGGTTATAGACCAAAGGTAAGTTCAGACCTAGGTAAACAGGTTGTCTCAGGCAGATGTTTATAGACCAAAGGTAGGTTCAGACCTAGGTAAACAGGTTGTCAGATGGTTATAGACCAAAGGTAAGTTCAGACCTAGGTAAACAGGTTATCAGGCAGTTATAGACCAAAGATAGGTACAGACCTAGGTAAACAGGTTGTCAGGCAGTTATAGACCAAAGGTAGGTTCAGACCTAGGTAAACAGGTTGTCAGGCAGTTATAGAGCAAAGATAGGTACAGACCTAGGTAAACAGGTTGTCAGGCAGTTATAGACCAAAGATAGGTACAGACCTAGGTAAACAGGTTGTCAGACGGTGATAGACCAAAGGTAGGTTCAGACCTAGGTAAACAGGTTGTCAGATGGTTATAGACCAAAGGTAGGTTCAGACCTAGGTAAACAGGTTGTCAGATGGTTATAGACCAAAGGTAGGTTCAGACCTAGGTAAACAGGTTTGTGGTTATAGACCAAAGGTTATAGACCTAGGTAAACAGGTTATCAGGCAGTTATAGGTTCAGACCTAGGTAAACAGGTTGTCAGACAGTTATAGACCAAAGGTAGGTTCAGACCTAGGTAAACAGGTTGTCAGGCAGTTATAGACCAAAGATAGGTACAGACCTAGGTAAACAGGTTGTCAGGCAGTTATAGACCAAAGGTAGGTACAGACCTAGGTAAACAGATTATCAGACGGTTATAGACAAAAGGTAGGTTCAGACCTTGGTAAATAGGTTGTTGGTAAATAGGTTGTCAGATGTTTATAGACCAAAGGTAGGTTCAGGTAAACAGGTTGTCAGATGGTTATAGACCAAAGGTAGGTTCAGATGAGTCAGGTTGTCAGGAAAGCTTTGGACCAAATGTAGGCTCAGACCTAGGTAAACAGGTTGTCGGACAGTTATAGACACCAAAGGTAGGTTCAGACCTAGGTAAACAGGTTGTTAGATGGTTATAGACCAAAGGTAGGGTCAGACCTAGGTAAACAGGTTGTCAGATGGTTATAGACCAAAGGTAAGTTCAGACTTAGGTAAACAGGTTGTCCGGCAGTTATAGACCAAAGATAGGTACAGACCTAGGTAAACAGGTTGTCAGGCAGTTATAGACCAAACATAGGTACAGACCTAGGTAAAAAGGTTGTCAGGCAGTTATAGACCAAAGATAGGTTCAGACCTAGGTAAACAGGTTGTCAGGCAGTTATAGACCAAAGGTAGGTTCAGACCTAGGTAAACAGGTTGTCAGATGGTTATAGACCAAAGGTAGGTTCAGACCTAGGTAAACAGGTTGTCAGATGGTTATAGACCAAAGGTAGGTTCAGACCTAGGTGAACAGGTTGTCAGGCAGTTATAGACCAAAGATAGGTACAGACCTAGGTAAAAAGGTTGTCAGGCAGTTATAGACCAAAGGTAGGTTCAGACCTAGGTAAACAGGTTGTCAGGCAGTTATAGACCAAAGATAGGTACAGACCTAGGTAAACAGATTGTCAGACGGTTATAGACAAAAGGTAGGTTCAGACCTTGGTAAATAGGTTGTCAGATGGTTATAGAACAAAGGTAGGTTCAGACCCAACTAGATGAGTCATCAGAAAGCTTTGGACCAAATGTAGGCTCAGACCTAGGTAAACAGGTTGTCGGACAGTTATAGACACCAAAGGTAAGTTCAGACTTAGGTAAACAGGTTGTCAGACAGTTATAGACCAAAGGTAGGCTCAGACCTAGGTAAACAGGTTGTCAGGCATTATAGACCAAAGAAAGGTACAGACCTAGGTAAACAGGTTGTCAGGCAGTTATAGACCAAACATAGGTACAGACCTAGGTAAAAAGGTTGTCAGGTAGTTATAGACCAAAGATAGGTTCAGACTTAGGTAAACAGGTTGTCAGGCAGTTATAGACCAAAGATAGGTACAGACCTAGATAAACAGGTTGTCAGGCAGTTATAGACCAAAGGTAGGTATAGTCCTAGGTAAACAGGTTGTCAGGCAGTTATAGACCAAAGATAGGTACAGACCTAGGTAAACAGGTTGCCAGATGGTTATAGACCAAAGGTAGGTTCAGACCCAACTAGATGAGTCATCAGCAAGCTGTGGACCAAATGTAGGCTCAGACCTAGGTAAACAGGTTGTCGGACAGTTATAGACCAAAGGTAGGTTCAGAACTAGGTAAACAGGTTGTCAGATGGTTATAGACCAAAGGTAGGTTCAGACCTAGGTAAACAGGTTGTCAGATGGTTATAGCCCAACGGTAGGTTCAGACCTAGGTAAACAGGTTGTCAGACAGTTATAGACAAAAGATAGGTACAGACCTAGGTAAACAGGTTAGCAGGCAGTTATAGACCAAAGGTAGGTTCAGACCTAGGTAAACAGGTTGTCAGGCAGTTATAGACCAAAGATATGTACAGAACTATGTAAACAGGTTGTCAGGCAGTTATAGACCAAAGGTAGGTTGAGACCTAGGTAAACAGGTTGTCAGACAGTTATAGACCAAATGTAGGTTCAGACCTAGGTAAACAGGTTGTCAGGGAGTTATAGACCAAAGATAGATACAGAACTAGGTAAACAGGTTGTCAGATGGTTATAGACCAAGGGTAGGTTCAGACCCAGCTAGATGAGTCATCAGAAAGCTGTGGACCAAATGTAGGCTCAGACCTAGGTAAACAGGTTGTCGGACAGTTATAGACCAAAGGTAGGTTCAGAACTAGGTAAACAGGTTGTCAGATGGTTATAGACCAAAGGTAGGTTCAGACCTAGGTAAACAGGTTGTCAGATGGTTATAGCCCAACGGTAGGTTCAGACCTAGGTAAACAGGTTGTCAGACAGTTATAGACAAAAGATAGGTACAGACCTAGGTAAACAGGTTAGCAGGCAGTTATAGACCAAAGGTAGGTTCAGACCTAGGTAAACAGGTTGTCAGGCAGTTATAGACCAAAGATATGTACAGAACTATGTAAACAGGTTGTCAGGCAGTTATAGACCAAAGGTAGGTTGAGACCTAGGTAAACAGGTTGTCAGACAGTTATAGACCAAATGTAGGTTCAGACCTAGGTAAACAGGTTGTCAGGGAGTTATAGACCAAAGATAGATACAGAACTAGGTAAACAGGTTGTCAGATGGTTATAGACCAAGGGTAGGTTCAGACCCAGCTAGATGAGTCATCAGAAAGCTGTGGACCAAATGTAGGTTCAGACCTAGGTAAACAGGTTGCCAGATGGTTATAGACCAAAGGTAGGTTCAGACCTAGGTAAACAGGTTGTCAGACGGTTATAGACCAAAGGTAGGTTCAGGCCTAGGTAAACAGGTTGTCAGACACTTATAGACCAAAGGTAGGTTCAGTCCTAGGTATATATGTTTCAGACAGTTATTGACCCAATGAAAGCAAAGTTACGATCAAGACATGATTTTATTATGAAATGTCAATAACTTAATGTATAACTGTGAGCAAAGTTAAGTTCCGGACACAAAAGGAAGGACGGACGAAAATAGAATACAGACGGACAACTATATGCTCCCACGAAAATTATCGGAGGGGGGCGGGGAGGTCATGAAAATAATAATACACGGAAATGTTAGAAATATTGTAATGTTATAAGGTGTTAGACGTATGAAAACTGTAACCACAATGAGGAGGAAATAGAGTTAGTGGGCACATGATATGCATAACTGGCGAAGGATGAATATGATATGCATGACTGGCGAAGGATGAATATGATATGCATGACTGGTGAAGGATGAATATGATATACATGACTGGTGAAGGATGAATATGATATGTGGGCAGCAATATGAGATTAGGTTATATTTACTGGCTCTCCGAAACTCTTCCGTCTGTTAATCTTATTTCCTTGACAAGATTGCCTTGTGACACATGTAACCTATTACTATACTTCCGTACCATAAAGGGAGATCACTTCTTTGTAAATTCTTGGAACAGAGCAGTACTAACTCTTTACTTACTTCAAACAGTTGTATCATGTTCACATGACAACACAAATCAAGAACGCATTACCCTAGTATACCATATACTTCACAAAAAACACAGGTTTTTATCACAAACTGCTATTAAATCATGGAAAAAGAAACACGTGTTCAATTCCCACGAACTTTTACCTCCTTGTGATGTTACTAAGGTTATGTAACTTGTGTGTTAGACAGGTAAAATATCGATAAATTCAAAGTCATTTTACTTCATCCTATGTTCACGAAAACATTTACATATTAAAACGTCCGCTATGTACATTATAAGTTTTATACTAATTTACAAATGCTGCGCACTATAACTTTCGCAGTCTCTCCGCGACCTTAAGTAGCCGCGAGCGCACCGACTTCAGTGTAAGAAATTTGTTTATTTGGTCAGGTGAAAGATTTACAACAATTTTGTGGAACTTACAGGTGATAGACTAGTTGACACTAAATTATCATACAGTACACGGTATATATGTTATATAAAAAATGTTGGATGACCTTATTCTATCGTCGAACATCTTTAATAGGTATTACGGACGTCCACAGCACGGACATACTGACAGAAATATTAAGGATCAATGACGATGATGGAGATGAAGACGATCCAGAGATGAAAAACACAGATTATGGAGGCATACGGAACACAAGTAATGATGACGTAGAAGGTAAGGCACAGGTCGTGACCTGTTCGGTACAGTGATAGCATATAGAGGCTTAGATGTACACCGGAAAGTCCATTGAGACTATACGTCGGTTTAACGGGAATAAATTGTAGACATTAATGTATCAATTTGACCCTGTGAAACACCGAAATTAAACATTCAATATTATAAGTGGTTTTTTTTAACAATGTTTTATTAAGATATTTCACAATACGTAACAGATTTAGCATTAACAGGATTGTGTGGAAATAGTTTCCATAAAAAAGAATTTCATAAACAAGGCAATAAAAACAAGTCTGGCATTTTACCTGCGATAATTATTTGTCAACAATTTTCACATATCCGACATTCGTCAAGATGTTTGACTAAACGTGAACAAAGATGTATCTATCGGCCATTTTGGTGGCCGCAATTCCAAGTCGTTATCGACTAAGAACGCGGCACAGATTCAAAGAATCCTAACGAAGCAAGTTCTGTCCTTCTGAGCTGATAAATGAAGAGATGTAAAAACTTTCACAATCTAGTTATACTGATGGAATCCTCACAGGTCAGGTAGATGTCGTCTGGCCAGTCTCACAACGCTCGTTTTAACCATGTGTCTTTATACACGCAACGCTCAGGCCTAACAATTCACCCTGGGTATCTTAGGATAACATTGAAAGGGAAACCGTGCTACAGATACAAAACTCTATAATGACAATGTCAGATACAGAGAAAAGCACGTTCAGTCAGTTCTTCATGTTTCCCAGTATGTTGGTGTCATAGGTTTCTTTTTATTGTGTTTTACAGAGCATGAAATTCGACGGTTGGAAGAGGAGAATCGCCGCCTGCAGAAAGAGAAGTTGTGTAGGATATGCGAGGAGGAGGACGCCTCCATTGCTTTTCTCCCGTGCGCCCATCTTGTGTGTTGTCACGTGTGTGCCCAAGCTGTGAGACGCTGTCCTGTGTGTAACGTCATCACACAAGGCACAATCAAAACCTGGTTCACGTGATCATATTTTTGACCGAATTACATGTGCATATTGCCAACAAATCTGTCAATATCGGAGTCATTTGCGTCTCGCTAGCGGACAATGTCTTCAGATACATGACCTTGGAAATTCCAGATTTGCGTGTCCTTTGCTGACTTTTATAAAGATATGGTTTTAGTCAAATTGCTTTCGAATACGGAAGTATAAACAAAATACCCCGGGAGCAACACTACCCTTATGGCACTTGTGCAACATAATGCAGTATTCAATATAAGTTAGATCCACCACCTGTTCTTTCACGTGACCGCTAGGGAAAGCAGATGTTATAGAAGTAAGATCCTGTTACATTCACAACACATGGACAAGGAAGGTCTGTCTACTTGAACTATCAATGTTGATTTGAATGACGTTAAATGTTAAGGTGGCATTCTAATGACAATTTACCATGACAAACATTCGTGATATAACACGTTAGCTAGACAACGAAGACAAGATAATCAAAACCATGTATAAATTGTACCACATTTATGTAATAAATATAGTATGAACACCAAGGAAGCCCCCGTTTTACATATCTAACAGCTCACAAATTGCATGCAGTAAAGACTGATATTAGTGTATTAACTGTGTGGCGTCAGAAGGGATATGAAGGCCAAACGAGGTACCAATATTATTACTGTATACATGTACTGGGCGATGGTAATCAGAAGAACGACTTGTTTCACAAATACTAGTCAACATTCTCATATAATTAGTGACAATAAAAGTTCTTACAAATCATGAGTGTTTCAACGTGAAAACTAGATCCACTTTTTATTTCTCGGAATTGATTTACCTATTAAGTTGGCGAAAGCAATTTCTCAAAGATCTCTATATTTTGTTCCGTCTGAAAATTAATTCGCCATTTTATAATTACAACACCGACACTTTCAGCTAATTCCATTCATTCACTTAGATATACGGATTAAGATATAAGTTTACTATAAATACACTATACACGTTTTCTACCTAATTAAGAAACTACAAGCAGGGTTATTTTATGCTCCCAAAGGAAGAACTTGTAGTCGCCATTGTGTCTGTCCGTATCATATCACTAAAACCATTAGAGGTATCAACATGAAACAGATCTCGATAAGGAGAAGTGCAGTGTACAAAAAACATAACCCTCATTTGCTTAAATTAGGAGTAATTGTCCTTTGTTATATTTTGTCAAAATTAGCCCTTTTGGAACTAGTGTTTATTCGGGGAGCATCAATGGGTTATCTTGTCTGTTAATCTGATCACCTGATTAAGAAGCACCCTGAACTGATAAAGATCTTTAACAACTTTTGTTGAATCGTCCTCCTGGAAGTTTCTAGTAACTCTGCATAACATATTCAATAGTGTATCAAAAGATATATTTTTTATACAAAAAAGAAATTTTGTTTATCAAACATGTAATGATGATGAGGACACAAAAGTTCGCTAGATTTTCTTTTTATCAAATCATTGAACATTACATAACGAAAACACACACACACACAAACCAAACAAACAAAACATGATCAAATTGAAATTTTTTTCACCTGAAGGAATCATGGAAAATGATAGGGATCACAGTTCACATAATTGGTAATGTGTGACCACTATTGGAACCAATACAGGCACCAGGTTACTGAAGAATGCCATGTGTTGGTCAGTAATTTGAGGAGCATCAATGAAAGGCAAGCTATGCAACTGAGTGACAAAGGGCCTGTATCGTACACCACTAAAATTTCCAGCTATATTTACTGTCCTACTTATCTTTCATCCCACAAAAGCAATGCGTAAAATCTTTCTCCAGTTCAACATAGGGGAATGTCGGTCAGAATTAACGGTATATCAGATGTCACAATAAAATCTTTGTATGTACATATCATTACAGCAATAATAGGGTTGTTGTGTGATAAGATTGAAATAAATATAAGGCTTACAGCAGACCTATTTATAACGGCTTTAAGAAGTTCAGATTGTAAGTAATCATTCTTTTTAACTATGTTTTCCATCAAGATATATATAAAGCTGGACCTGTAGTGCTCCGTTTGTTCCTGTTTGTGACAGGTTTATCAAGGTCACTGCCTCTATTTATTGACTTGACGCAATACATCAACAGTTCTATTTTTTAATAATTTTTTTTATCAAACTTCACACAAAGTTTAAACATGAAAATGCCTGGAATGAAATATCAAAACACATTTTTATGGTCAGTATAACATCTGTGTTGTTTTATTATGTGATTACCACATTTTGTTCATTGTTTGAAAATAAAACACAAAAAACTTTGTCATAGCCTTTACATTTACTTTGATGACAATACAGTACAATTCACTTCAGCAAAATTCAGTATGAATGAGTATTTTCATACGTTCCAATACACTCCAAACCAAAAAAATTCATACATTCAATATACCATCCACATACAATAATCCATACATTCTATATCAAACATACAATCCACATACATAAATTCATACATTCAATATACCATCCACATACATAAATTCATACATTCAATATACCATCCACATACAATAATCCATACATTCAATATACCATCCACATACAATAATCCATACATTCTATATCAAACATACCATCCACTACAATAATCCATACATTCAATATACCATCCACATACAATAATCCATACATTCTATATCAAACATACCATTCACATACATAAATTCATACATATCGTAAATATTCATCACAAACACATATTATTTATGAACAAAATTATTTATACCAACAAATCATGAATATTTATCAAAATTTAACTTTGTATTTGATAGAATTTACAAATATTTTCTAAAAGCAGCACTTCATTTTTTATATTAAATGATAAGTGACATAGACCATGAATGCTTGTCCATATATCCATGCACTGTGAGTTGGTTGGATGCACTATGTAGATGACCAGTGTTATCACTTCGTTGCTGTCGCATATTTGATTTCATCAAAAGCTTTTCTTGCTTTCCTAAGCTCTTCACTCATCATAAGTAATTCTTTCACACGAGAATATTTCTTTGGGTCCTTTCTTATAAGAAAAATAATATCTTCTACTGAAATTCTTCCAGGTCTCCCAACTTCCATGGCTTTTTTAGTCTAAAAGGAAGCAGTGAAAACTAAGAAACATGAAAAAGGACAAGAGCTTTTAATTTATCTAGTCTTTAAGGCTTTAAAAACAAACTAATCAATGAAATGGTACAAATCAGACATGTTAAAAAGTAAACAATATCTTCTTAACATTTTCTTTGTTATGAAGTTTCCAACATCACCCATTGAAATAAGACAGAATTTTATCCTTTTACTCATAAGAACTTCAGTAATTTAATGAGCATAAAATATGTGAGATTCAGATTTTCAGTAATACACATTTGACAATTTTTTGGTGAATAAGCCATAAATATATTTAATTCTCTGCAAATATCCAAAAGTGGCATCCAATGTTAAAATTCAATACATCATAGGAAGCTTTCTCAGGTGGGTTTTGTCCCATTCTACCTCAGGTATATTAATCTTTATGGGTATGGTAATTTATTACAAATCCTAAAACAAGTCTGTGAGATTTTAAAGCAATTAAACTGACAAATGCTGTTTTCATTCCTTAAGATAGGACTCCACAATTCTTTTCAACTAACAAATATGTAAATGTATCCTGTTTAAGCCCACTTCATCGATCACGAGATAATGGTTATACTATGACAAATGTTATTATGATTATAATTTAAAGAAAATCTTGTGACATAAAATGTAAAGTACATTAATCAGTGCAGCTACTATATATAGTCATGTTACCATTTCTGTGATGTAGTCTATAACCAAATCCTCTAGGATATCCACTGATTCTGTGTAGGGATTTCTGTCATCTCCAAAGCCATACATCATACATCGTACTGAAACAAAGTAATATATCATACATCATACTGAAACTAAATAATACATCATACATCGTACTGAAACAAAGCCATACATCATACATCATAATGAAACAAAGTAATATATCATATATCATACTGAAACTAAATAATACATCATACATCATACTGAAACAAAGTCATACATCATACATCGTACTAAAACAAAGTAATACATCATACATCATACTGAAACTAAATAATACATCATACATCGTACTGAAACAAAGTCATACATCATACATCGTACTGAAACAAAGTCATATCTCATACATCATACTGAAACAAAGTCATACATCATACATCGTACTGAAACAAAGTCATACATCATACATCGTACTGAAACAAAGTCATACATCGTACTGAAACAAAGTCATATCTCATACATACTGAAACAAAGTCATACATCATACATTGTACTGAAACAAAGTCATACATCGTACTGAAACAAAGTCATATCTCATACATCATACTGAAACAAAGTCATACATCATACATCGTACTGAAACAAAGTCATACATCATACATCGTACTGAAACAAAGTCATATCTCATACATCATACTGAAACAAAGTCATACATCATACATCGTACTGAAACAAAGTCATACATCATACATCGTACTGAAACAAAGTCATATCTCATATATCATACTGAAACTAAATAATACATTGTACTGAAACAAAGTCATACATCATACATTGTACTGAAACAAAGTCATATCTCATACATCGTACTGCAACAAAGTTATACATCATACATCGTACTGAAACAAAGTCATACATCACACATTGTACTGAATCAAAGTAATACATCATAGATTGTACTGAAACAAAGTCATATCTCATACATCATACTGAAACTAAATAATACATCGTACTGAAACAAAGTCATACATCATACATTGTACTGAAACAAAGTCATATCTCATACATCGTACTGCAACAAAGTTATACATCATACATCGTACTGAAACAAAGTCATACATCATACATTGTACTGAAACAAAGTCATATCTCATACATCATACTGCAACAAAGTTATACATCATAGATTGTATTGAAACAAAGTCATACATCACACATTGTACTGAATCAAAGTAATACATCATACATTATACAGAAACAAAGTCATGCATCATACATTGTACTGAATCAAAGTAATACATCGTACTGAAACAAAGTAATATATCATACATCATACTGAAACTAAATAATATATCATACATCGTACTGAAACAAAGTAATATATCATACATCATACTGAAACAAAGTAATATCTCATACATCGTACTGCAACAAAGTTATACATCATAGATCGTACTGAAACAAAGTCATACATCATACTGAAACAAAGTCATATATTGTATTGAAACAAAGTCATACATCATACATCGTACTAAAACAAATTAATACATCATAATGAAACAAAGTAATATATCATACATCATACTGAAACTATATAATACATCATACATCGTACTGTATCAAAGTTATACATCATAGATCGTACTGAAACAAAGTCATACATCATACTGAAACAAAGTCATAAATCATACATCATTCTGAAACAAAGTCATATCTCATACATCGTACTGAAACAAAGTCATACATCGTACTGAAACAAAGTCATATCTCATACATCATACTGAAAATAAATAATACATCATACTGAAACAAAGTCATACATCATACATTGTACTGAAACAAAGTCATATCTCATACATCGTACTGCAACAAAGTTATACATCATAGATCGTACTGAAACAAAGTCACACATCATACATCATACTGAAACAAAGTCATAGATCATACATTGTACTGAAACAAAGTCAAATCTCATACATCGTACTGCAACAAAGTTATACATCATAGATCGTACTGAAACAAAGTCATATATTGTATTGAAACAAAGTCATATCTCATACATCATACTGAAACAAAGTCATATCTCATACATCATACTGAAACAAAGTCATACATCATACATCGTACTGAAACAAAGTCATACATCATACATCAAACTGAAAATATATAATACATCATACATCGTACTGAAACAAAGTCATACATCATACATCGTTCTGAAACAAATTAATACATCATAATGAAACAAAGTCATACATCATACATCGTAATGAAACAAAGTAATATATCATACATCATACTGAAACTATATAATACGTCATACATCATACTGAAACAAAGTCATACATCATACATTGTACTGAAACAAAGTCATATCTCATACATCGTACTGTAACAAAGTTATACATCATAGATCGTACTGAAACAAAGTCATACATCATACATCATACTGAAACAAAGTCATATATTGTATTGAAACAAAGTCATATCTCATACATCATACTCAAATAATGTCATACATCATACTGAAATAAAGTCATACATCATACTGAAACAAAGTAATACATCATACATTGTACAGAAACAAAGTAATACTTTTCTTGAGAACACATTTATCACTTTACTTAGTATTATTAATTAGCATAAATTGATATAAGTAAAGTGATATATGTGTTCTCAGGAAATTGTCAGTTTTTTCACATGCTACAGTTATTGTATCTGAGGAGCAACTTTTACACCCAAATATAGATGTCTAGCAGATGTATCAGTGGAATACACACCATAATTTATATCATTGTTGAGTGTACATATGTCACTGATATCAATACCTAGCCTATTCTGACCCAAAGGAAACTATAACTAGTATTGCAGGGAAAACCAACACAAGGAGAAAGGTAAACAGTTAACATGTTTATAATAACAAGGTGTTCAGGAGAGTGAAATACAGCCATGGTAACTTGTGTTTATTCTGGTATATGTTGTCACCTTCATGTGATTCTCTCTCACAAGATGACCTCACCCACTAATTAATGATGTATCACAATGGTGATATCTACAATATATCACAATAACTGAAATACATATGGTTATAAAACAAAATATTTTATTAACTGGTTATTGCCTTGGTATGTTACAGTGAGTGACTTACGGCACAATTATTATGTCATTGACACTTTGTGTACAAGTTGCTACTAGAGCTGTTATCATATATCAGCATGTATCATGATTAGAAAAACAGGATGACGATATCGTGGAAAATTTTAAGATCAGTGATATCGCCATCGGCAAAATGTAAGAGGGAACAGTTTAATTTTCAGGTTAAAACATACATGAAAGTGAAACAATGTTAAGAAGTCAGTCAGCTTTTTGAAAGAATGTAACAAAACGCATGTCATGTGTCACTAAATCTGTGAATGAAATAGCTTCACCCTATCAACTTAGAATATTCCATTTTGATCCCCCCATCATTACAGAAATGAAATCGCAAATGTTGGCAGATTTTAACAGTCGTTATCAGTCTGAGACTGTGCAGTTATTTATCAACACTTGTACCTTGCTGGACCCTCGATGTCACGACATGTTCATTGACAGTGAGACTCTGGAGTTAATTATTCAGAAATTCTGTCGAAAAGGCACCTGTCCAACTGTCATCAAAGGGAAAACCGAACCTGATTGCCACAGTAACCAATCAGCTGCAACTTCGACAGTTGAAAACAAGTGCCTTCTGTATAGCTGACTGACACTGTCGATCAAATTGACGACAGTTGTTCAGAACCTGATGAAAAACAGGCTAAAAAAGACGACAGTCTGGGAGACTTTCTCAGCGATGCTTGATTTGTTAAACACAAGAGAAAAACATTAATGCGAGAGCAAATATTACACCAGGAAATGGATAGTTACTTAAAAGAGTGTACTAGAACACCAGTAGACACAAATGTTGACCCATAACAGTGGTGGAATGACCTGGCCGTTGTGTACCCGAATCTATCAACGAGAGTACCGTCCAAAAGGATTTTTAGTTGTGCTGGAAACACTCTTACAAACAAACGTGCAACATTATCAGATGACAATGTGGATAAATCAATTTTTCTTAATAAAATCTAGCAATTATCGAAAATTTTAAAAAAATTGATGGACTCATATTGAGTGACATGGGTTCAAATGTATATGAAAACTGTGCAATTAAAATAAACATTTCTGTCACTTATATATCTTCAAATCTTTTTTTTTATAATTTTCTATTTTTCAAGATTTTACACGTTGAACAGGACAAATACACTCACACCCTCTCACACATCCAAACACAGGTGCACATATAGTAATTGCGTGTCAAACAAGAACACTCCATTCAAAAGAATCATCAACATCATCATCAACATTCAACAATGCATGTGATCATTACTATTATTATTATTATCACCATACATGATAATCCTCATATATCACAATCAATATTATTATGTTACACACTAAATAATGCATCATCATCATCATCATCATCCTCAAAAACATGATAATCTTCCTCATCATCCATTTCAACATATATATCACAATCAATATTACTATCATGATTATTGTACATACTAAATAATGCATCATCATCATCCACATTCAACAATTCATCATCATCATCAAATCAAGATTCATACTTTCATAACCATTATGAAACCTTATGATTCATAAATATCACAGTAAACTTTTGTTTGAAATGCACCCATGCACACATGCATAAACACACACACAACCATAAATTGACATCAACATACAGAAATGAAGAAATGAAATAGAACTTTATTAGGGATAAGAAATTTAAAGAGAAAGAAATTGAAGAAAATGAAGAAATAGTAAAGTGGATTGTTGGGTGAGATGGTAAAATAGGTTAGAGTAATTTAATCTTTTAATGTTTTTCTTTCTTTATATCTGATTACTCGGTATGGTCAAGGACTGTTATATATATAATTATAAAAAATTATAAAAAAAAAAGAAAAAAAGAAAAACTAGTAATGCGATAGGTAATAGATCAAAGTGTGTAGATCAAAACTGTATTAATTTTTCCCATTTTTTCCATTCATTCTCAAATTTACGTTTTACTTTATCATCCTTACCATTAGCTATATATTTTTGTATCATATAATTATCTTTGATTGTATTAATTAGTGCATGCAAGTTTAGTGAATGGTGTAAGCATCTCATTTTATAAATAAACTGTTTAATAATAATTATAATCTCATTGTCTACTCTGTTACTCGGAAGGAAGTTTTGATGTAGGAGACCAAGAATGAAAGTTTGCTTGTTTACTGAGAAAGGGATAAATAGAGCTTCTAACAAAATATCAAGACTCTGTAATAGTCTTTGTACTTCCTGACATTCCTACAGCAGATGAATGATTGTTTCGCGCTCAGAGTTACACAACACACAAAGAGGGGAGATAACTAATCTAATTTTAAAAAGAAGGGAATTTGTTGCTAATGCATGGTGGATTACCCTATACTGGAACCTTGTATTTTTTGTTACATGGAATGGCATTAAATAGTACTTATCCCAAGTTTGTTTATCTATATTATCAAATATACTATTCCATTTTTTGGTACCCGATGGTAACACGTTACATTTAATTAGAGTATCATAAAACCTTTTTTACCCTTTTTTGTCTTGAAGAAAGATACGTAAGGTGATTGGTATGCAAGGATAGATTATAGAGGGGTTAGAGATAGTATCTGATGCAATAAATTTTTTGACTGCAGAGACGAGACCCTGGTATTGTAAAAAATTTGTATTTATTTGATATTTTCGAATAAATTCTTCCCTTCCATAGATATATCTTCAAATCAGTTAAAAATAGCACAAAGAATTTGTAGTAAGTTTTCATTTATTTGCTGATAGAAATAACTAACTTGAAACACAATATTAACATTAAGATTTTACTTGATAAATATCGTGATATATCGCAATGATATCAGCAAAATTTGACAATATTGCGATGCAGTTCCCCCCAAAATTCATGACAATTCAAAGCAGATTCATTGAAAACTGTACATGGGTAGTAGAGGAACTATTTACCAGTCAGTATGGACATGTTCTAGCAGTGAACTTGAGTACAAGCAGCAATGTTAAAACAAACCATTAACTATTAAGCCATTCACATTAAAAATTGAGCAAAAGATGTTGGATGTCGTGGGAAACTTCCTGTACAGATCTAAGAAAAGTATTGTACTTATTTCATGAAATAAAAAGAGAATCCATATATCAATACGAATGTGATTGTTTGATTTATAAATGAACTGACATCATATTAGATTTTACAACATTAACTTAAAGTAACATTGTGGTTTTATACAAAAGTGTAACAGAATTACTTATTCCAATGCATCTTCTAGGATATACGTAAACACTGGGATACAATAGCAACTATTTACAGTTCAAGAGTTTATTTGCCACTTTGAAAACTTGATGTTAATTATCTGTGACGTCATAGTATTATGATTCAAGAATTGAAGTTTCATAATTCAAGAAAGAATTAATCGTGACTTCTCTTTTACGTAGCACAATTAATGATACACTGCTAATCCTGAAATGATTAGACTCCTGATTCCCTACATACTCACATTCTTTTGAAAATATCTTGTTCCTTCTCTCAAGAGGGGCGTCTTCTTCTGTTTCTTCGTCTTCAAACTGTAAAATATGTAAACAATTATTGACAGACTTTTCCATTGCAATATGGTCTATGGGAAGTAACTATATATTTTCAGTAGTCGTTCATAAAAATCACACGTTGACCAATAGTTTACATTGGCTCATCAAACTGGTTGGAGTCGATCTGACAGTCGAGATTGAATGATGTAAATCTATTCCTAAATGAAATATCTGTTGAATTTATTTTGGATCACCTACATAAGAGCTATATGTTGTTGCCTATTCACCGATAACATGATAAGTAAATGGTTTAGAACAGGTCGTATCAAATGTACATGGGTAATTCCACAAAATATGGAGTCATATCGAAGTTTGGTGCAATTTAAATCGTTTTCCACGGCTAAAATGACATTGGTATCGAATAAATATACTTTGTCTTACCTGATCTTTTTCTGCTTCTGCCATTTTGAGAAATGATACCTTCGGTCAACGATTTTCACGCATTTTGATTGGATAATATTTTCTAAGTAAATGTTTACAGTTAAATAAAATACACAAGTTAGTTTATGACCTTATAAAGCATCAAATCTAAGAACTGTACAATGTGTAAACAATTGTACTTTTCATAGCATTTATTATTTTTATTTATTGTTAGGCCCGGTACTTAGTTATCTAACGTAAACTTCCGGAAAAGTAACCTTCACGTGTTTGTTGCTGTGTTACATCATCTTCAGAAAATGGGAAATGCTAACGCACCAGCAGCACCCCCCGCAGCTCCTGCGTCGACAGGAGAACCTGCAAAGAAACTGAAACCATGTTGTGCGTGTCCTGAAACAAGGGGACCGAGAGATGAATGGTATACTTCGTCTTGAACTAGTATATATCATGTCGAGACGGTATCACAGGCACTCGAGGCCAGGATATTATTTTTTAAACATTGATTTTTGTTTTAGCACTCATGACTGACGTTATTTAAACGAAATATCAGCAGAATTCAAGTTTATGTGCCGGTTGACAAATCCGAGGTCCACGGTCATTAAAAATACACAAGGCAAGCAACTCCAGATTTTAAAAAATCGACCCCTCGCTTGGAAACTGGCTCAAAAAAAGTAGTTTTATGATCAGTTCCTTGTAAAACAATATGTATCCGTAGGTAGTGTGTATATTTACCTTTCATTTGATGCATAACATTACAGGCAACGAGAAATTCACAATACGTACATGAGATTAACATCTCAATAACCGGAGATTTTTATCGTCCATGTAAATATCTTTGACGGATACATATTGTTTTACAAGGAACTTATCATAACTACTTTTTTTGAGCCAGTTTCCAAGCGAGGGGTCGATTTTTTAAAATCTGGAGTTGCTTGCCTTGTGTATTTTTAATGATCGTGGACCTCGGATTTGTCAACCGGCACATAAACTTGAATTCTGCTGATATTTCGTTTAAATAACGTCAGTCATGAGTGCTAAAACAAAAATCAATGTTTTCAAAAATAATATCCTGGCCTCGAGTGCCTGTGGACGGAATATGTTTATCAATTTCAAACACATAAGTCCGAATTACTCTGATGTTCTATCAACTTTTTAAAATCAGTTGATAAACGTCAGAACCCAAATAAAGAGTGAGGGAAATAAGCGACCCTTGCCTGGGTAGGCATTCACAATTGTGGCAAGAAATAACAAGAAATTTTCTGACCACGTCCACCAGAATTAGAAATCAAGGACATCACATACTGTCCTACATCAGCCACTTATCTTAATCTTTTCTACAACAAAACCAACCTGGACAGCTTTCCATGAAGCTGCACGATAAGAATGATGATTTCAGTTTTCATATAGCGAATTTTCCATTTCTTAACGGCAACCCTCATCCCTAACTTACGGTTTTTACATGTTATAGCTGATTCAATATTCAATGGCATGTTCCCATTATGACGAATTTTTTGCAAGAAGTTGTCAACTGACAGACAGACTTAAAACACAGGGTTTCAAAAGATGCAGGTTGATGAAGTTTCATGGTCGGCATAGGGATCATATTGAGAAATATTGATTTCTTTGTGATTTAAATATGAAGCTTGATGTGTTTGATGCTCATTAGATTACCTGTTGGCTCCCCTCCTCCCTCCCAACTCTGTTGTTGTATACCTTGAGAATGAGAATGTGACATTACTTACTTTGACTGACCATGACTTACATGTGTCATCAAATAAGCAAAAGACTGTTACTCCTCTAGAATATCTGGTCTTATTCTCCTTGCATTTTCCATGTTAATCTTTCTTTTCTTCATATTTTACCCTATTTTATTGAATTTGAGTTTGGATTATGATTATGATCCAAGGTCACAGGGGTCAAACTTGCTGAAACCTTATAATGGCTTCTGATTAATCAAACAGCCTAGAAGTATTATATTTGACTAGAAAGTCTCTGAAACTGAAAATGCTTGCTAAAAGAAATTACCTTGACCAATATTCAAGGTCACAAGAGCCAAATTTGTGAAAACAAGTCATTCTGATTGACAAAAAGTTCTAAAAGCATGATATTTGGCAGATGGGTCTCTGGGGTGAAGCCTGACAAAATTTGCTGATAGAAATGGACTTGAACCATAATTAGGGTCACAGGGGTCAAAGTCTTCTTCTCGTAACCAAAAAGTCTGAGAAAGAGAATATCTGGTGTAAGGGTTTTTCTAGGTCAAAGCCTAACAAATTTTAAGAAAAGAATATGAAAGAAAACTGTAATCCAGGTCATAATTGCCACTGTTAAGAACTGAGTGTTTAAAAGCGTATGTTTGTTGTTGAAATTGTTTGAAATTGATCGGATGCGCCCACTTTGAATGCCATTAGTGCATGTTTTAATGTATTAATGATGAATACTGATTTTTTTCTGATGAACATTGAATACCAGGAGAGCTATGCAGGCCCACTAGGCATCTTGTTCTCTTTGGTGTAAACTCAAGACCAATGTAAAAGAGTTGATTAACATTCAGTATAATTTGGACGTATTGTTGACAGGTTATTTTGCCTTCTTGTGAGTTGATTGAAACTGTGTATTTACAGCATAGTTCTAAAAGGAGAGGAGAATTGTAAGGACTTGATAGAGGCTCATAAAGAATGCATGAGAAAGCTGGGATTTAAGGTGTAAGGAATGTATTACAAACACAAAGAGGTAAGTGTCACTTAAAGATACATTTAAACAGCAAGTGTCTCTCTAAAATACAATGTAACAGCAAGTGTATCTCAATATACACTGTAACATCAGGTGTATCTCAAATTACACTGTTACAACAAGTGTATCATAATATACGGTAACAGCAAGTGTATCTCCCAAGTTACATCTACATTGTACATGTTACAGCTAGCTTTATTGAAAAAATGTACTGATAGACATGAATTTTGAATATCAGGTATGTACAGTGTTGTGCACTGTTTTGTGTTTTCCAATACAATAAGTAAGGAAGACCTCATGTGTCTGGTTTTTTTATCCAAAGAAGTTTTCTAAAACTAAAGAAAAGGGACCAGACTGGGAAATATCTGTCACCCCAGTTACTGTACACTCGTGTGTCTGACTCTCTAAAATTAGAGAAAAGGGGAGACAACTGTCATCCCAGTTATTGTACATTCATGTGTCTGATTCTCTAAAACTAGTGAAAAGAGGAGATATCTGTCATTCCGGTTATTGTACACTCATGTGTCTGATTCTCTGAAACTAGTGAAAAGAGGAGATATCTGTCATTCCGGTTATTGTACACTCATGTGTCTGATTCTCTAAAACTAGTGAAAAGAGGAGATATCTGTCATTCCGGTTATTGTACACATTGTGTGCAGAAATAGTCGGTTGTACTAATGATTTTACACTGAAGTTAGGTTTGTGATGTATGTTCAAAGCTCAAAAACTACCTACTATGTAGTATATGTAGAGAGAGAGAGCTTTGTTGATGATTTTGGCATACTTCTTTGATTAAACAATAACTTGACAATTCCAACTTAATTAAAATAGGTATAAGCTAATTATTTGAAATGCCATAGAAAATCTGATAAACTGAGGTTTAATGGTGGTTTGTACACAGACAAACTGAGGTTTAATGGTGGTTTGTACACAGACAAACTGAGGTTTAATGGTGGTTTGTACACAGACAAACTGAGGTTTAATGGTGGTTTGTACACAGACAAACTGAGGTTTAATGGTGGTTTGTACACAGACAATCCTGTATTTGAATTGTGACTCTTGGTTGATTTGATGGTGAGTTGATAAGGGTCACAGTACTCTGAGGTCCCACTGAATGCCTTCCTCTAAATGTTATCTCTTTAATTTTTCTCTCCCTTGGCCCATTTTAGGGCCAAGTGAACTGATCCTGAGGTGTATTATCTGATATCCATCCATACATCTATTGTGGATGTTGTTACTGTCATATTAATACTTAATTCTGTTTCAAGATGTTTTCTCATTGATAAAGCCTTCTCCTTACATGGTAATGTCATATGAAATAGTTTTTTGACTTTTTGTTTTTTCAGATTTGAAGGTGATACTGCAATCGTGCACTTTCTATTGACGAATGCTGCTGTTTATGAATGGATGAGTGTTATTTATGAGGATGAAAGTACATATAGACATAGTGAACAAGGGTCTGTTTTACAAGTATCAGGGGTACCCTACTTTGGACTATTCTCATTTCTTCAGTATCGGACAGAACAAGCACAAAGCATGAATATCTTAATTGAACTGTACATGAAGTGGATAATAATGATACATGTATTGGTTTTGATAATACAGCAAGGAAGTCCTTTCTATCCACTATGAATTAAGTAACTACAAATAACATTTTTCCTGCTTTTTTTTGTGAAATATTTGTTTGTTCTGTATATGTAATGTTTTTATCTTATTTGTACATGTTAATCTTGTTTTGATTTGTAATTAATAAATGAATTAGAACATTTTTTCATCTCTGTCTTCAGTTTGCATTTATCATATGTTCCATGCTCAAAGACTGAAAGAGCTAATACCACAGGCCATTATCCTGGGTCTGTCCACAGGAACACTTTCTTCAGGTTGGTAACGTCAATGGAATAGAGGTTCTTATAACACAACACAACATATGTACCATATGTAGCTTAGATGGCTGTGTAACTTAAGGGTTCTGTTTCTGTTTAAGGGTAAATGATGGTGACAGAAATCTTTCTTCATGTTTCCTGTGATTTTCCAGTCACACACATACACACACACACCCTACCTCTCTCTCTTTCTTACAAACACTCATCATACATGCTTTGCTTGTGTGTATTATGTACATCAATCTTTCTGTATGAAAAAAGGACAAAATATCTGACGATCCAATTTACAGATAAAAATTCAAGATTATTTACTTCACAGATGTGAAAAATTAAATCTCACTTGCATGAAACATAAGTGAGCATTTAATGGCAATGTGCAGTGTCAATCTTTTGCTTTGCATTAGCTTTTCAATATAATGCTGAAATATGAAAGACTACCAGGTTTGTTAATGTACATGACCTTCACTCACTCAAATGTCCAGGGGTCTAATTTGTTAAACATTTGCCTGACTAATTATCTGTAAAGCAAACTGGATGATGTTTGGAATAGTATTCATATTGGCCTATCAACTCAGTTAAAAAAAAGGTCAGGAAGACCATAAATGATGGACCCTTTATGTATCAATGTGACTCCACACTCGCTTTGTGTTTACTTTAAAAAATGTGACATGTTATCACAGAATGGTTGTGATTGTTACATAAGACACTTATCTATAAGTTGATTGACAAGTTTCAGCAGAAACATATACCGGACATAAAATAAAAGTCAAAGAAGAAGCTAGTAATATGAAATGCTTTATACTTATTTATTATCACATTATTAATTAAATATATGTACAGTTTTATCTGAAAACTGATTTCAGATATGTGGGGACTGGAATCTTCTATTCAAAATTTACAGTGGTTAAAAGATTCTATAAACTGTATCAACTCCACCAGAAAGTATACACCAGTCCTTTGTCGATACTTAAACCTAAACTATATAACGATGATCTCAAAAGATGAATGGCCTAGTAAAAATTGGTGAATATTTCAAATACCAACAGATTATGAATAAATTGAGATTTTCACAAATATTTAGCATGACACAATTTTGAACATAAAACAAGTATGATATAAATTGCATCTATCACAGTCAGAAGATTAACACAAATGGATATTTCCTCATTTATGATGCTCTCCAGATCCTTTTCTTGTCTGGAATTCATACAGGATTTTTCTTGAAATATTTTTGTCTGTCTGTGGATTTTGTGCTGACCACTACTGTAAGAGTGATCGCCTTATCATGTCTTTCCTGTCAGGTGTTAAGGATGTAGGAAATTCAATGTCAAATTCTATCACAAGGTCACCTTTCTGTGACTGGTTTTGTGAAATTGGCATGCCTTCTGTGGGGACTCTCTTTGTGTATCCAGGCCTGTATATAAAAAAGGACAAATTAACAACATTCCATCAGAAAGGTCAGTGTTATAAATTCAAATGGACACCTTAGGAAATTAAGACTATCACAAGTATTAATATACCTTACTGTCTAGAAAGTGACATTTTTATACTAGTGAGTTTACATAGTAGATGTAGTTTCTCTGATATATAGTACATAGATACACAGATGCAGGGCAGGTGATACTGATCTATTAGTGTAACCATTATGGTGGGTTTCTGAAATCAGCATCGGGTCTCTTATATCAATATCATGGCATCTATTAAAAAAATCATTCTTCAAAAGGAGATGTTTGTTTACCATTGTTTGGATGTAACAACCTGCCAGACAAAGCAAGTGATCAAATTATCAGAACTGTCAGCTGATGGGCAACTTACTTGATGATGTCATTGATAGGGATGTGTAGTACACGCTCATCTAGAGTAGTTATTTCCACATCACAGCCTGTGAGAGCTTTACCAAGAGGTACCTTGGCTGTGTGGACAAGATTCACACCACTGCGTCTGAACCGAGGATGGGGTTTGTCCTTTACGATGAATACAATGTCAGCTGGAAATTGAAGATTTAATTGACTTTATTTAAAGTTTTCTGCCAACTATCTGTAGAGCGTATAGTTGGCTCTAAATTTTGAATGAACATATTTTACAGGGGAATCAGAATTATATCACTTTATTAATAACAAGATAAACATGTTTATCTTCCGACAACAATCCTTCTGAGTAGCTCCTATCGATCTCATGAAGTAAACAAATGTTTGTTAAATCTTTATCAGTGAGGTTTTAACACATACCAATAATAAAAGTTTTATTTCTATTATGCATTTCAAAATACATGTAACCACCTTACCTGGCACATTGTTTGGTCCCTGGTCACCTTCTTCTGGGAAAGTGATTTTTGTGCCAGGTTTCCACCCCTTTTTCACTGTGATTGTTAGAATTTTGTCCCTAATGCTTGAAGTATGGCCGTCCTCGTTCATAACCTGAAACAATGAGTATTTTGTTGGATAGAGACAAGACAAAGAACACCCTCCTATTCATATACAAAATTGGGTTAGAAGTTTTGCACATGACCATTATGCATGTACAATACAGGATGACAATGTAGCTATGTGATTTCTACTATATGCATGGAAATTCAGTAAGTATGTAGAAAAGCTATACACACCCTTCTTGAAATCTTCATCTTTTTTGTGCAACCATGGAAAACTTCTTCTAGTGACAAAAATAAATCTCTCTCAATTGGAGGATCTTGCTTCTTACGGCCTCTACCCTGCAGACCTCCAAATCCCATGCTAAGATCACCATCCACTCGGTCATAAAATTCTGTGAAATAGAAATATAACAATAAAAATACAGATGTGTCAACAGAAACTTACTTCAATAGCAAATTCAACAAAATATGGGCAAAATATGAACAAAAGATAGCATGGAGACCCTATGTACCTAACAAACCAAGCATTCTTATACCCAATACATGTTTTATCTGGTATGTGTATATCATGGTCTGTTTACTGGTCAAACTTCATTCTTTCTTTCCATTATCATAAAGTCTTGGTCCTAGTTGTATAAATCACATTCTGAGTTCAATCATGACTTCTGCTAGAAGCTATGTTTGATTTTGGAAATATAAAGATTGTTTGCACAATTTCTGGTGAATTACAGAAGCCATCTCCTTTGTATTCACTATGTGTCATCCAGACTAGGTCAACAACATATTAAGAAAGAGTTCAAAGATCTTTCACTGATTTCGTCCCATGAAAATTTACAGTGTTTCCCTGTTCTTGTAAGTTTAACTTGGTTATCATTGATACTACATAATGCCTGAAGGAAAAAGAACAACCTGTTCTAGAACTGAGAGAGATCATATGATGTTTCAAAGATCCATCTAGAACCTCTTAAGTGTGAACCTCAACAGTTAATGAAATTAAATTAAAAAAAAAACAACAAACTTTTCATTTGTTCACATTTGTTACCTTGATATGGATTGTCTCCTCCAAAAAAGTCTCTGAAAACCTTATCAGCATTGCCATGGAATGTGTAACCCTGAGTCCATGCACCAGTTTCCCCACTTCCTTCAGGTACACCATTCTTTAAGCCTTCTTCTCCAAACTGATCATACACAGCACGCTTAGGAGCTAAAGAAAAAATACAATTTTTTCATGTGAAAATATTGTATTTGCAAGGTTTATCTCCCTGTGAAAAGCTAGGGACAGTATTTCGATTTATGATAATGTTTATATGATTTATTCATGACTGCTGTAGTGTGTGGTATATTGAGTTTTCAGCATGACAAGGTAATAAACTTTAGACTTACGATCACATAAAACATCATATGCCTCTGCAACTTGCTTGAATTTATCAAATGCTGCTTGATCTCCGGGCTGTTTATGTGGATGGTAACGTAGTGACAATTTTCTGTATCTGGAAATAACAGGTTTGAAATTTAGTTGATTATGGAACTGCTCATTAAAGTATCAAGTGTATATCTTGCACAGTCTATATATGATAACATTAGCGATAAATAATAGATATCTTTTGGTAGCCTATTGATTGCTAATTTTATTATATAAGACTATACATATCTATAAGCAACTAGTAATTCTGTACAATAGTTTAAAACTGTAGGGAAACAAAGTAAAATGACATTCCACAGTCAAGACATCTGAGTGCTCTGGATACAATATTATTCCTTTTCCGTATCTACTGTTCTGTATCGTTGCTGTGATATGGCATAGGTCTGTCTATTCACATTCCTTTACACCGACATCTACAAATGTCAGCACCAGATACAATCAATGTATGATGATGTGATATCTTATTTACTGATATCGATTGAAATACAGTAGACATATTTGTTCCCTAATTTGAGTGATACACTGTAAGTAGGAGCTATTTACTGCGAGAGTACAGTACACTTCGCATGGCGACAGAAACTTGTTTACATGTTTTCAAGTACAATTATGATTAAATTGTACCAGTCCTTTCAAACTTACTGCTTCTTAATGTCAGCATCGGTAGCACTCCTTGACAGATTGAGGATGTTGTAATAATCTATTCCCATTTTGACGTTTCAGTGGCTGAAATTCGTGAAACGTTACTTGAAAATGGCGTGTATCGCCTGGCAACGGTAAACACTGAGCTATGCCTTATGTACTAGTGGCAGTTTCGTATGTAATTGGTTTCGTATATTTGAATACATTGAAGCGTAACTCATTTATCTGTGTATTTCATTGTCTACATCAGTTGGATTTAAATATTATCAAAACCTCATTATTTATGTAACCATTATATTAGTTCTTTTAATATATACGAAAGCAATGCTGAGCAAACAAAGACATATGCATCTCCGAGCAACAATATCAAACAATATGGCCGCGTCGTAATGAATACACCGAGCGGTAGGAAAGATTGATGGAAAGTGCTGACTTTTGGATTGCTTGACGTACATTATTATCGTCATCTATTCGAAAGAATGGAAGGGGATAAATGTGGCGTTCGTATAACGCCTCCGGTGCTAGAATTCTATGATGCCGAAGTGGACACTGTGCATCAACTAAATGTCACTGTCAAAAACACAAGTAAAACCAGCAAAAGCATTCGTTACTATGGCCCGAAAACTAAGGTAAGTGGTTATATTGAACATATTACAGATAAGAAGTTGTGTTCGTTTTTTGAAGCACATGCATGTGACACATGCATTTTTATGTAGGTATTTTTCAGATTGCTGTACAAAGAGCTTTTTTAACTGTTTAAACTTAAGCATCATCACTGATATTTTGATGTGGATGCAAGAAGCAAATCTGTTTGCACATGCACATTTAGTTTTACTTGTTTGGTCTAATTCATTCACATTTTATTTTTATTCATTTTTAACAGCAAATGTTCCACCAACACACCATTTTATGGCGTTAAAAATCTAATTAGTGTTTTGTAAATGTGTCTTATTGTTACGTTTTAAGGACAATACTGATTCCCTTGATTGAGGATTGAAAAAAACATTAATTCATTTAGCTCTAGATTAGGGTTCCAATGTTTTTGTGATTGGGAAACTATGATTGATTCATACATACTACCAATGTAGTTTGATTTATTTCAAAATTATGCTTGTAGGAGCTATATAGGGTGTATCATTTGATAAAACTGAACCTGTTACATAAATTTCAAATAGTGAATCAGGAAATCATAGTGGTATATGATATTATATTTCTGATTCACTACTAGTATTGATGTATCATGACACTGCCATGATGGGTCTTTTTTTTAATTTTATTTTTCACCCATGTTCATCTGATTGCAGCTTTTGTTCCTTTGTAAAAGGTAGAATTCTATCATTCCTTACCCTAGAAAAGTTTTTTTTGTATACATATCCAGAATTTTCTGCTATTTTAGGAATGCTTTTGGCTATAGACAGCATTAGCTCGAATACCAAGCTAAAGATGTAAAGATATATCAGTTTGTTAAATGGATTGTTGTATTTCTGAAGCTTAAAACATATAATCATATTTTTTCAGTATTTTCAACTGAAAGTAAGGAACCCAAACAAGCCTGTAGCGCCAGGCCTATGTGTTCCTGCTGTTGTAGAATTTGAAATCAAAGAGGAGAAGGAAGTTACAGACAGACTTGTTGTCACAGTAGATGGGGATGTTATTGAAATACCATTGGTGGCGTAAGTATTATCATTGATCATAGTAGACATAGTAGAGCTGACACTTTACTGTAGCAAAAAAAAAACAAAAAAACAAAACCAGAAATATCCCAACAATAAATCTTAACTTCAGTCAGAGACCTGAATTCAATCATATTAATATACTATGACATATGATGCATTACTTCATATATAACGTATATTTACTATCACTCTATCATATGTCACAATTTATTTGCTTTAAAACAATATGTAGTGCTGAGCCCATTTGGGGTTCATGCATATGAATATGTTTATCCCTTGCATGCAAATTGTCTTATTTCATGGACACAAGTTGATGTCTTGTGGTATTACAACATTTTTTGTTGAAAAAAAATATTATTTTCCAGGTATCCACCACAACCTCTGCTTGAAATTGAACAAGTTGTAAACTTTGGAAATCTAGTGGCTAACAGTAAAACTGTTTCACATGAAATATCCTTGGTCAACCATGGCTCAAAGGCTGGTGATTTTAAAATCAAGTACAGCGGGGACAAGCCTATTGCCATCATGCCTAGCAGTGGGTCTGTACCCCCTAAAAGTGTACAGATGATAAAGGTACATGACTGTTCTTTGAACATTTGATGGATTATTCATTCATTCATTCATTCATTCATTCATTCATTCATTTTTGTACATAGTACTAAAGTTATTTTCTCTCTTTTTTCTAGGTTGAATATGTCACTAAACAAGCTGGAGTTTTTGAAGAAGTGGTGAAGTAAGCATTATTGTTTTTTCATCTTTCATGATAGAACGTGAACATTTCATGAAGTTTGTATTGGCTCATACAGATTATATAGATTTTGTATGCTTCAAAACATTTTGTAATTTGTACTTTGGAATCTTGTTAATAGTCAGCTCTCTTTTCTAGAACTATTCATTGTATATTTCAAACATCTTTTTTTTCACTATAGGGTAAAACTTGAAGGGAAGGAAACTAAAAACCTTGTGATAAAGGGAACATTAGTAGACAGAACACTTGAGGTGCTGGCCATGAATACTCACCAGCCAGTAGAATGTGTGCGCTTTGGAAGCACTTATTATGGCTCTGACAAAACAGAATGTGCTTTACTGTTCAACAATGGACCAGAACCTGTCAACTTTGTGGCTGTTCTGGATGAAGATGCAGTTGCACAAGAAATGGTAAATTTTTTTCCTTCAAAATTTGAAACAAAATCCCTCAGATATCAATATATAAAGGAAAGATAAAGAATAAGACAAGAGGCTTATTTCTTTGTGATGTTTAGGTGTTGTTTTGAAAATATTTTGTATTTACTTGCTTGAATAAACAACATCATTGAACTGAGCAATAGAGAAGTGTACGGCTATGTATTTTGTGAATCCTTGTTTTTTGACAGAAGAGTTGATACCTCTGAAGATATAGAACATTAACAACATACTTCTTTATAAATTTTATTCTAGCTAAAAATCACTCTATTTGAAGTATATGTAAATTACGAAGATGGCATCTGATATTTATTAGTAACTTCTATCTGCTAAATAAACATTTGTTTTTTTCCCAGGGTGTGGACTTGTCCAAGAGTACAGTGGATGCATTGGCTGACCAGGATAGGGATGGCATTGAGAAACCCCAGGGTACAACAAATGTGCTGACCTCTCTCATTACAGCTATCCCTAACCAGGGCACACTGAAGCCCTATGAGAAGATACCAGTATTTTTCAGGTTCAGTCCTAGGTATGTATTTCTGAAACATACACTATTAAAATTGGTCAGAGGGAACAGAGTAGTCAGAGTGCCACAACTATTCTTAATCTGAAAGATATCAGAAGTACAAATCCATGAGATGTGCCATAACCTCACTTCTGTTTTGTGTTCTGTCAGTGTAATAAACACTGTTTCCTGATGATTGCCAGTTCTAGTTCAGCTTCTTGGGTGAAGACCTGTTCATGTGAGCTCTGGCTTTTAACATATAAGTAAAATGTAATCATACCACCTGTTTGTGGATATAAAGTTCCAGTATTGATCAAGTACAATAAATACTCTCCTTTCCTTTGTGAACAAATATTCTGTCTGAACTAGTTTGGATACCAACTATGGTGTAGTTGATTATTGCTGATTAATCCCACTTTATATCAGATGGAATGCCTCAAAGGAGGGATGGAAGGGACAGAAGAAGCCTCCCCCCAGGAAGGACTTTGCCCTGTTTATGAGGATTCAGATTGTAGGATCAAGCACAGGATTTAGTTCCAAATCACCCACTAAATATGCTGATGGTTAGTACTGTTCTATATCAGTGTTAATTGATAGATGGCATAAGTCATATCACAGAACAGGTTGTATCTTGTCTTACATTCTGGTTTGGAAAAGAAAATTGAAAAGAATATTGAAGAAAAAGATAAATTATAAACATCTTAATCATAACTAAAAATGAACAATATATAATAATGGAAAAAATAAGAAAGCTCTATATTATACACTGGTCTTTATAGACAATGTTAATTTCATACACAGGTCTGTATGGACAGGTTCTGTTTTGTACACAGATCTGTATAGTCAGGTTCTGTAATGTAAAGGTCTTTGTGTAGTGTGTAGATATGTTCTATAGCATATAGGGTTATACTTAAATAATTCTACCTTGTGGTGATATCTTTATACAAGGTTGTATTTAAATAATTCTACCTTGTGGTGATATCTTTATACAGGGTTGTATTTAAATAATTCTACCTTGTGGTGATATCTTTATACAGGGTTGTATTTAAATAATTCTACCTTGTGGTGATATCTTTATACAGGGTTGTATTTAAATAATTCTACCTTGTGGTGATATCTTTATACAGGGTTGTATTTAAATAATTCTACCTTGTGGTGATATCTTTATACAGGGTTGTATTTAAATAATTCTACCTTGTGGTGATATCTTTATACAAGGTTGTATTTAAATAATTCTACCTTGTTGATATCTTTATACAGGGTTGTATTTAAATAATTCTACCTTGTGGTGATATCTTTATACAGGGTTGTATTTAAATAATTCTACCTTATGGTGATATCTTTATACAAGGTTGTATTTAAATAATTCTACCTTGTGGTGATATCTTTATACAGGGTTGTATTTAAATAATTCTACCTTTTGGTGATATCTTTATACAAGGTTGTATTTAAATAATTCTACCTTGTGGTGATATCTTTATACAGGGTTGTATTTAAATAATTCTACCTTGTGGTGATATCTTTATACAGGGTTGTATTTAAATAATTCTACCTTGTGGTGATATCTTTATACAAGGTTGTATTTAAATAATTCTACCTTGTGGTGATATCTTTATACAGGTTCATTTGTGGAGGTTGCTTTGACTGGTACAGCATTACCAGTACTGTTGTCAGTGTTGCCCTCTCTGAAGTACGACTTTGGGGAGTGTCCTATAGGGGAACATGCTGATGTCCTGTGTACCATTAAAAATGAGTCGTCTGATCTAGCCACTACCTTCCAGTTCAGGAGAGTGGCTCACTTTTCTACACATCCACCTAGTGGAAAAATCCCAGCAAATCAATCTCAGGATGTTATATTCTCCTTTTCTCCAAAACAAATTGGTAAGTGTACTCACAGTTTTTTTTTTCTTTACTTATCTTACTACAATTAAGCCTCCTAAGCAGTATCTTTAAAGATGAAACAGTTTCCAAAATCTTTGAAATCTGCCAGCAAAGGTTACTGTTAAATAGAACTCCAGGACTTCTTTCATATGTTGTACAAAAAAACCCATGTTTTTAATAATTTAAATGATCAGAGGTAAATACAGATGGATGTGGTTGTCATTGACTGTAGCAGTCACATATTTATAAATACCTGGGATTTTTTTATGTACACATATATTACTGAGATATATCCCTAGCTGACCATGCTTTAATCAAACGTTGTGACTTATCATTATTACCAGGTGGCTTCAAGACAACCCAGATGCTGGATGTGATTGGTTCCAGTATAGGGTAATCCACCATGCATTAGCAACAAATTCCCTTCTTTTTAAAATTAGATTAGTTATCTCCCCTCTTTGTGTGTTGTGTAACTCTGAGCGCGAAACAATCATTCATCTGCTGTAGGAATGTCAGGAAGTACAAAGACTATTACAGAGTCTTGATATTTTGTTAGAAGCTCTATTTATCCCTTTCTCAGTAAACAAGCAAACTTTCATTCTTGGTCTCCTACATCAAAACTTCCTTCCGAGTAACAGAGTAGACAATGAGATTATAATTATTATTAAACAGTTTATTTATAAAATGAGATGCTTACACCATTCACTAAACTTGCATGCACTAATTAATACAATCAAAGATAATTATATGATACAAAAATATATAGCTAATGGTAAGGATGATAAAGTAAAACGTAAATTTGAGAATGAATGGAAAAAATGGGAAAAATTAATACAGTTTTGATCTACACACTTTGATCTATTACCTATCGCATTACTAGTTTTTCTTTTTTTTCTTTTTTTTTCATAATTTTTTATAATTATATACATAACAGTCCTTGACCATACCGAGTAATCAGATATAAAGAAAGAAAAACATTAAAAGATTAAATTACTCTAACCTATTTTACCATCTCACCCAACAATCCACTTTACTATTTCTTCATTTTCTTCAATTTCTTTCTCTTTAAATTTCTTATCCCTAATAAAGTTCTATTTCATTTCTTCATTTCTGTATGTTGATGTCAATTTATGGTTGTGTGTGTGTTTATGCATGTGTGCATGGGTGCATTTCAAACAAAAGTTTACTGTGATATTTATGAATCATAAGGTTTCATAATGGTTATGAAAGTATGAATCTTGATTTGATGATGATGATGAATTGTTGAATGTGGATGATGATGATGCATTATTTAGTATGTACAATAATCATGATAGTAATATTGATTGTGATATATATGTTGAAATGGATGATGAGGAAGATTATCATGTTTTTGAGGATGATGATGATGATGATGATGATGATGATGATGATGATGATGCATTATTTAGTGTGTAACATAATAATATTGATTGTGATATATGAGGATTATCATGTATGGTGATAATAATAATAATAGTAATGATCACATGCATTGTTGAATGTTGATGATGATGTTGATGATTCTTTTGAATGGAGTGTTCTTGTTTGACACGCAATTACTATATGTGCACCTGTGTTTGGATGTGTGAGAGGGTGTGAGTGTATTTGTCCTGTTCAACGTGTAAAATCTTGAAAAATAGAAAATTATAAAAAAAAAAGATTTGAAGATATATAAGTGACAGAAATGTTTATTTTAATTGCACAGTTTTCATATACATTTGAACCCATGTCACTCAATATGAGTCCATCAATTTTTTTAAAATTTTCGATAATTGCTAGATTTTATTAAGAAAAATTGATTTATCCACATTGTCATCTGATAATGTTGCACGTTTGTTTGTAAGAGTGTTTCCAGCACAACTAAAAATCCTTTTGGACGGTACTCTCGTTGATAGATTCGGGTACACAACGGCCAGGTCATTCCACCACTGTTATGGGTCAACATTTGTGTCTACTGGTGTTCTAGTACACTCTTTTAAGTAACTATCCATTTCCTGGTGTAATATTTGCTCTCGCATTAATGTTTTTCTCTTGTGTTTAACAAATCAAGCATCGCTGAGAAAGTCTCCCAGACTGTCGTCTTTTTTAGCCTGTTTTTCATCAGGTTCTGAACAACTGTCGTCAATTTGATCGACAGTGTCAGTCAGCTATACAGAAGGCACTTGTTTTCAACTGTCGAAGTTGCAGCTGATTGGTTACTGTGGCAATCAGGTTCGGTTTTCCCTTTGATGACAGTTGGACAGGTGCCTTTTCGACAGAATTTCTGAATAATTAACTCCAGAGTCTCACTGTCAATGAACATGTCGTGACATCGAGGGTCCAGCAAGGTACAAGTGTTGATAAATAACTGCACAGTCTCAGACTGATAACGACTGTTAAAATCTGCCAACATTTGCGATTTCATTTCTGTAATGATGGGGGGATCAAAATGGAATATTCTAAGTTGATAGGGTGAAGCTATTTCATTCACAGATTTAGTGACACATGACATGCGTTTTGTTACATTCTTTCAAAAAGCTGACTGACTTCTTAACATTGTTTCACTTTCATGTATGTTTTAACCTGAAAATTAAACTGTTCCCTCTTACATTTTGCCGATGGCGATATCACTGATCTTAAAATTTTCCACGATATCGTCATCCTGTTTTTCTAATCATGATACATGCTGATATATGATAACAGCTCTAGTAGCAACTTGTACACAAAGTGTCAATGACATAATAATTGTGCCGTAAGTCACTCACTGTAACATACCAAGGCAATAACCAGTTAATAAAATATTTTGTTTTATAACCATATGTATTTCAGTTATTGTGATATATTGTAGATATCACCATTGTGATACATCATTAATTAGTGGGTGAGGTCATCTTGTGAGAGAGAATCACATGAAGGTGACAACATATACCAGAATAAACACAAGTTACCATGGCTGTATTTCACTCTCCTGAACACCTTGTTATTATAAACATGTTAACTGTTTACCTTTCTCCTTGTGTTGGTTTTCCCTGCAATACTAGTTATAGTTTCCTTTGGGTCAGAATAGGCTAGGTATTGATATCAGTGACATATGTACACTCAACAATGATATAAATTATGGTGTGTATTCCACTGATACATCTGCTAGACATCTATATTTGGGTGTAAAAGTTGCTCCTCAGATACAATAACTGTAGCATGTGAAAAAACTGACAATTTCCTGAGAACACATATATCACTTTACTTATATCAATTTATGCTAATTAATAATACTAAGTAAAGTGATAAATGTGTTCTCAAGAAAAGTATTACTTTGTTTCTGTACAATGTATGATGTATTACTTTGTTTCAGTATGATGTATGACTTTATTTCAGTATGATGTATGACATTATTTGAGTATGATGTATGAGATATGACTTTGTTTCAATACAATATATGACTTTGTTTCAGTATGATGTATGATGTATGACTTTGTTTCAGTACGATCTATGATGTATAACTTTGTTACAGTACGATGTATGAGATATGACTTTGTTTCAGTACAATGTATGATGTATGACTTTGTTTCAGTATGATGTATGACGTATTATATAGTTTCAGTATGATGTATGATATATTACTTTGTTTCATTACGATGTATGATGTATGACTTTGTTTCATTATGATGTATTAATTTGTTTCAGAACGATGTATGATGTATGACTTTGTTTCAGTACGATGTATGATGTATTATATATTTTCAGTTTGATGTATGATGTATGACTTTGTTTCAGTACGATGTATGATGTATGACTTTGTTTCAGTATGATGTATGAGATATGACTTTGTTTCAGTATGATGTATGAGATATGACTTTGTTTCAATACAATATATGACTTTGTTTCAGTACGATCTATGATGTATAACTTTGTTGCAGTACGATGTATGAGATTTGACTTTGTTTCAGTACAATGTATGATCTATGACTTTGTTTCAGTATGATGTATGATGTGTGACTTTGTTTCAGTACGATCTATGATGTATAACTTTGTTGCAGTACGATGTATGAGATATGACTTTGTTTCAGTACAATGTATGATGTATGACTTTGTTTCAGTATGATGTATTATTTATTTTCAGTATGATGTATGAGATATGACTTTGTTTCAGTACGATGTATGACTTTGTTTCAGTACGATGTATGAGATATGACTTTGTTTCAGAATGATGTATGATTTATGACTTTGTTTCAGTATGATGTATGACTTTGTTTCAGTACGATCTATGATGTATAACTTTGATACAGTACGATGTATGATGTATTATATAGTTTCAGTATGATGTATGATATATTACTTTGTTTCATTATGATGTATTAATTTGTTTTAGTACGATGTATGATGTATGACTTTGTTTCAATACAATATATGACTTTGTTTCAGTATGATGTATGACTTTGTTTCAGTACGATCTATGATGTATAACTTTGTTGCAGTACGATGTATGAGATATTACTTTGTTTCAGTATGATGTATGATATATTACTTTGTTTCAGTACGATGTATGATATATTATTTAGTTTCAGTATGATGTATGATATATTACTTTGTTTCAGTACGATGTATTACTTTGATTCAGTACAATGTATGATGCATGACTTTGTTTCTGTATAATGTATGATGTATTACTTTGATTCAGTACAATGTGTGATGTATGACTTTGTTTCAATACAATCTATGATGTATAACTTTGTTGCAGTATGATGTATGAGATATGACTTTGTTTCAGTACAATGTATGATGTATGACTTTGTTTCAGTACGATGTATGATGTATAACTTTGTTGCAGTACGATGTATGAGATATGACTTTGTTTCAGTACAATGTATGATGTATGACTTTGTTTCAGTACGATGTATTATTTAGTTTCAGTATGATGTATGAGATATGACTTTGTTTCAGTACAATCTATGATGTATTACTTTGATTCAGTACAATGTGTGATGTATGACTTTGTTTCAGTACGATGTATGATGTATAACTTTGTTGCAGTACGATGTATGAGATATGACTTTGTTTCAGTACAATGTATGATGTATGACTTTGTTTCAGTACAATGTATTATTTAGTTTCAGTATGATATATGAGATATGACTTTGTTTCAGTACGATGTATGATGTATGACTTTGTTTCAGTACGATGTATGATGTATGACTTTGTTTCAGTATGATGTATGAGATATGACTTTGTTTCAGTACGATGTATGATGTATGACTTTGTTTCAGTACGATGTATGATGTATGACTTTGTTTCAGTATGATGTATGAGATATGACTTTGTTTCAGTACGATGTATGACTTTGTTTCAGTACAATGTATGATGTATGACTTTGTTTCAGTATGTATGAGATATGACTTTGTTTCAGTACGATGTATGACTTTGTTTCAGTACGATGTATGATGTATGACTTTGTTTCAGTACGATGTATGATGTATGACTTTGTTTCAGTATGATGTATGAGATATGACTTTGTTTCAGTACGATGTATGATGTATGACTTTGTTTCAGTACGATGTATGATGTATTATTTAGTTTCAGTATGATGTATGATGTATTACTTTGTTTTAGTACGATGTATGATGTATGACTTTGTTTCAGTATGATGTATGATGTATTATTTAGTTTCAGTATGATATATGATATATTACTTTGTTTCATTATGATGTATGATGTATGGCTTTGTTTCAGTACGATGTATGATGTATTATTTAGTTTCAGTATGATGTATGATATATTACTTTGTTTCAGTACGATGTATGATGTATGGCTTTGGAGATGACAGAAATCCCTACACAGAATCAGTGGATATCCTAGAGGATTTGGTTATAGACTACATCACAGAAATGGTAACATGACTATATATAGTAGCTGCACTGATTAATGTACTTTACATTTTATGTCACAAGATTTTCTTTAAATTATAATCATAATAACATTTGTCATAGTATAACCATTATCTCGTGATCGATGAAGTGGGCTTAAACAGGATACATTTACATATTTGTTAGTTGAAAAGAATTGTGGAGTCCTATCTTAAGGAATGAAAACAGCATTTGTCAGTTTAATTGCTTTAAAATCTCACAGACTTGTTTTAGGATTTGTAATAAATTACCATACCCATAAAGATTAATATACCTGAGGTAGAATGGGACAAAACCCACCTGAGAAAGCTTCCTATGATGTATTGAATTTTAACATTGGATGCCACTTTTGGATATTTGCAGAGAATTAAATATATTTATGGCTTATTCACCAAAAAATTGTCAAATGTGTATTACTGAAAATCTGAATCTCACATATTTTATGCTCATTAAATTACTGAAGTTCTTATGAGTAAAAGGATAAAATTCTGTCTTATTTCAATGGGTGATGTTGGAAACTTCATAACAAAGAAAATGTTAAGAAGATATTGTTTACTTTTTAACATGTCTGATTTGTACCATTTCATTGATTAGTTTGTTTTTAAAGCCTTAAAGACTAGATAAATTAAAAGCTCTTGTCCTTTTTCATGTTTCTTAGTTTTCACTGCTTCCTTTTAGACTAAAAAAGCCATGGAAGTTGGGAGACCTGGAAGAATTTCAGTAGAAGATATTATTTTTCTTATAAGAAAGGACCCAAAGAAATATTCTCGTGTGAAAGAATTACTTATGATGAGTGAAGAGCTTAGGAAAGCAAGAAAAGCTTTTGATGAAATCAAATATGCGACAGCAACGAAGTGATAACACTGGTCATCTACATAGTGCATCCAACCAACTCACAGTGCATGGATATATGGACAAGCATTCATGGTCTATGTCACTTATCATTTAATATAAAAAATGAAGTGCTGCTTTTAGAAAATATTTGTAAATTCTATCAAATACAAAGTTAAATTTTGATAAATATTCATGATTTGTTGGTATAAATAATTTTGTTCATAAATAATATGTGTTTGTGATGAATATTTACGATATGTATGAATTTATGTATGTGAATGGTATGTTTGATATAGAATGTATGGATTATTGTATGTGGATGGTATATTGAATGTATGGATTATTGTAGTGGATGGTATGTTTGATATAGAATGTATGGATTATTGTATGTGGATGGTATATTGAATGTATGGATTATTGTATGTGGATGGTATATTGAATGTATGAATTTATGTATGTGGATGGTATATTGAATGTATGAATTTATGTATGTGGATTGTATGTTTGATATAGAATGTATGGATTATTGTATGTGGATGGTATATTGAATGTATGAATTTTTTTGGTTTGGAGTGTATTGGAACGTATGAAAATACTCATTCATACTGAATTTTGCTGAAGTGAATTGTACTGTATTGTCATCAAAGTAAATGTAAAGGCTATGACAAAGTTTTTTGTGTTTTATTTTCAAACAATGAACAAAATGTGGTAATCACATAATAAAACAACACAGATGTTATACTGACCATAAAAATGTGTTTTGATATTTCATTCCAGGCATTTTCATGTTTAAACTTTGTGTGAAGTTTGATAAAAAAAATTATTAAAAAATAGAACTGTTGATGTATTGCGTCAAGTCAATAAATAGAGGCAGTGACCTTGATAAACCTGTCACAAACAGGAACAAACGGAGCACTACAGGTCCAGCTTTATATATATCTTGATGGAAAACATAGTTAAAAAGAATGATTACTTACAATCTGAACTTCTTAAAGCCGTTATAAATAGGTCTGCTGTAAGCCTTATATTTATTTCAATCTTATCACACAACAACCCTATTATTGCTGTAATGATATGTACATACAAAGATTTTATTGTGACATCTGATATACCGTTAATTCTGACCGACATTCCCCTATGTTGAACTGGAGAAAGATTTTACGCATTGCTTTTGTGGGATGAAAGATAAGTAGGACAGTAAATATAGCTGGAAATTTTAGTGGTGTACGATACAGGCCCTTTGTCACTCAGTTGCATAGCTTGCCTTTCATTGATGCTCCTCAAATTACTGACCAACACATGGCATTCTTCAGTAACCTGGTGCCTGTATTGGTTCCAATAGTGGTCACACATTACCAATTATGTGAACTGTGATCCCTATCATTTTCCATGATTCCTTCAGGTGAAAAAAATTTCAATTTGATCATGTTTTGTTTGTTTGGTTTGTGTGTGTGTGTGTTTTCGTTATGTAATGTTCAATGATTTGATAAAAAGAAAATCTAGCGAACTTTTGTGTCCTCATCATCATTACATGTTTGATAAACAAAATTTCTTTTTTGTATAAAAAATATATCTTTTGATACACTATTGAATATGTTATGCAGAGTTACTAGAAACTTCCAGGAGGACGATTCAACAAAAGTTGTTAAAGATCTTTATCAGTTCAGGGTGCTTCTTAATCAGGTGATCAGATTAACAGACAAGATAACCCATTGATGCTCCCGAATAAACACTAGTTCCAAAAGGGCTAATTTTGACAAAATATAACAAAGGACAATTACTCCTAATTTAAGCAAATGAGGGTTATGTTTTTTGTACACTGCACTTCTCCTTATCGAGATCTGTTTCATGTTGATACCTCTAATGGTTTTAGTGATATGATACGGACAGACACAATGGCGACTACAAGTTCTTCCTTTGGGAGCATAAAATAACCCTGCTTGTAGTTTCTTAATTAGGTAGAAAACGTGTATAGTGTATTTATAGTAAACTTATATCTTAATCCGT